CAGTCACCCTTGGTCACACGTCATCCCCCACGATGACCTAGAGACCCCCAGGATCCCCCCATGGGCACCCAGAGACCCCCCAGGAGCATCCCAAGGGCACCCAGAGACCCCCAGGAGCATCCCATGGGCACCCAGAGACCCCTGGGGCACCCAGAGACCCCCTCGAGCACCCAGAGACCCTCTGGGGCACCCAGAGACCCCCTCGAGCACCCAGAGACCCTCTGGGGCACCCAGAGACCCCCTCGAGCACCCCATGGGCACCCAGAGACACCCAGGAGCATCCCAAGACCACCCAGAAACCTCCAGGAGCACCCCATGGGCACCCAGAGACACCCAGGAGCACCTAGAGACCCCCAGGAGCATCCCATGGGCACCCAGAGACCCCCAGGAGCACCCAGAGACCCCCAGGAGACCCCAGGGCTCCCCAAAGGCCCCCAGGAGCCCCTCAAGACCACCCAGGAGCAACCCAAGGGTCTTCAGGACCTCCCAGGAGCACCCCAAGACCCCCAGGAGCACCCCAAGATCCTCCAGGACCTCCCAGGAGCATCCCAGGGGCAGCCAGGAGCCCTCCAGGATTCTCCAGGACCCCTCCAAGTCCCACAGGAGCACCCCAAGTCCTGCAGGAGCACCCCAAGGACAACCAGAACCCCTCCAAGACCCCCGGGAACATCTCAAGGTCCTCCAAGAGCACCCCGTGGCCCTTCAGGACCTGCCAGGAGCACCCCAAGGACAACCAGGACCCCTCCAAGACCCCTGGGAACATCTCAAGGTCCTCCAGGAGCACCCCGTGGTCCTTCAGGACTTCCCAGGACCCCCAGGAGCACCCAAGGCCCCCCAGGACCCCCCACCCACCTGGTGACGTAGTTGACCAGCCCAGTCTGGAGCAGCAGGTCCCGCCGGGGCAGGAGGTTCTCGGTGATGAGGTTCTGGTTGGAGCGGACGGCCACGGCGTTGCAGACGCAGAGGGAGCAGAGCACATCCAGCACCTAGGGAGGACACAGGACACGCCTGAACACGCCTGCACATGCGTGTGCGTGCCCCGCCCCGGGGAGAGGACCCCTCCTCACCTTGTGGTTGCGGCCGTGCTTGTCCAGGAGGGAAATGATGGATTTGATGTGGTTCTCCTGGATGATGTTGAGGACCTCAGGGCTCTCGATGAGGACGCAGTACAGCACCTCCAGGATGCCTGCGGGAGGGACCCCAGCCCCACATGAGGGTCCTCGGCCCCATAGGAAGGTCCTCAGCCCCATATGAGGGTCCTCAGCCTCATGCAAGGGTCTCCAGCTCCACAAGAAGGTCCTTAGCCCCTGTGCAAGGGTCCTTAGCCCCATAGGAAGGTCCCAGCCCCTGTTGCAAGGGTCCCCAGCCCCCATGCAAGGGTCTCCAGCCCCATAGGAAGGTCCTCAGCCCCCATGCAAGGGTCCCCAGCCCCTGTGCAAGGGTCCCCAGCCCCACATGAAGTCCCCCAGCCCCACAGCGAGGTCCCCGCTGACCCGAGGATGCCTCCAGCCGGTCCAGCTTGCTGACCAGCCAGTCCAGGTTGGTGGAGAAGAGGGCGCAGTTGGCGCGGTTCCCCCGGATCAGCGAAGCTGGGGGGGCAAAAGGGGGTCAGGGCCTCCATCCTGCCCCATAGCACCCTGTCCTGCCTCAAAGCCCCCCCCAAAGCCCCCGTCCTGCCCCACA